CCCTATTGCAGACGCTTTCTCAGGCGCATTTGCATCAATTCAACACCCACAGATCCAACCTGTGGTTTATACTGCAACTATGCAGAGCAGACCATAATTACAGTTTCTGGAAAAGAGCGTGTTTTCTAGCGTGATCAACAATTTGAAAAAAAAAAAAAAAGGAACAATTTGAATTAGGCCAGCAGGCTCAAGCCCTCGGTCAAGTTGACTTGCGACTTCGTGCTAGCACAGCTAACGACGGCCCCCATGTGTTCCGTCTCCACAATTTCACTCACAAAGGTGCCGCACGTTGGGATCGATCCCTCCAGTCAGATAACATTAGGAAGTTCCCTTCCAGATAAATTGACCCTGGTAAGATTCGAACCACGATCTTATGGTCAGAATGCGAACATTCTAACCACTCGGCTATGTGCCCATAACTCCGAGCGATTATTAAGAACTATATTACCAATTATAAAAAAGGTAAAAAAAAAAAAAAACACTATCACATCACGAAATGTTATGTCCGCAAAAACGTTCCCAATTCAACATGCGAAAAAACACTAAATACAATGTCTACTGGACACACACACACGCACACGCACACACAGAGGAATATACATTATACATTATCATCTTTTATTGCCTGAGAGGCGTTAGTAATCCTCTTTAATCAACATCTTGTTAAAAAAATATCAGTTAAAAATGAATTAACGCTGTTTCCTCGACCGTCTAATTCCAGTTTCATGTTCAAGAGGATTTTAAGGTAAATTTTTTTCATCCCTTTTTTTACCTTCCAAATGAAAACTCTGTCTTCTTTTCCTCTTGATTTTAATTCCAGCATGTTTTTGATAATAAAAAAATGCAATTTGTTTTTCTTTTTACACTTTCCTAAAGGGCATTTTACTGAGAAAGGCAGTAATTAGAAATATCACCAGTTTCCGAAAGTAAGAAGGAAAACGGACATTTCAATTGTCCAAATTTATCAGATGAAACGTTAATCCTTTTATTTTCACAGGTTTTCCTTTCTTTACCTTATGTCTTAATGTTTATCACGATGCGCGTGTCATTATAGAAACGTTTCAAATCGTATACGGAATAAAGAATAGACCTAAATGTCCTATTTTAAACGATATTTGCTGATTTACTCACCTCGTCAACTAACTTTCCAAGGGTACTGCATGCCAGTTTATTTTACATCTATGTTTAAAAGTTGAGTCTAATATATGATCCTGTATTTTATGCCTGATAAATGGAGAAAAACGTAAAAAAAAAAGAAAAGTTTACAAGCCGAGGTAATTGATCAACACATTAGATTGTACGGTTTTGCAAATTCCCGCGAAGTTTTTTTTATGAAGTTTTAAAATTTTGATTCCATCTGTTTTATAAAGTTTCTCAAATTTTTGTTCACTTTTAGGAAATCTAATAGTACCATTTTCCGAATGTAATAAGATTGTGTTTAACATGAAACGCATGCTTAAAAGAACTTGTTAACCATTTAACAGCCAACAAGTAGATTCACTTTTACAAAGTCATTAAGGCATTATATAGTGACGCTTATACACATATAATGTACAATATGAAAAATGAAAGCTTTGCAAAAATAACGCTTTGATATATAAAATTCGCAGAGTAATTGAAATATAAATATTTAATTAACAAGAGTTAGCAATCATTCTTTTTGGAGTTTTATTTTTGTATGGATATTGAAATTGATGAAAATAGGCAAAATATTAACACTGAATCCTTCATTTCATTATCGATTTTTTTTTCTGTCAAATACTTTTCGGATTATACATGAAGACCAAAATAATAGTTACAAATTGGTGATTTCAGGTGCGGTAGGTTTAAATATCTGGAAATTGTTTTAACAAAAGATAGGAAAACCGAACAAGAGTTGGAAGAACGAAAGAAACATTTAAAAACAACTAAGAACGGTGCCGTGAAATGGGAAAAAATAAAGCAGGTTGTTGTGAAATGGAAATAAACTAAGATCGGTGCCGTGTAATGGAAATGAACTAAGATGCCGTGAAACGAAAAAAAATGAGAAAGGCGCCGTGAAATAGGAAAAAAATGAAGCAGGTTGTCGTGAAATGGAAATAAACTAAGATGCCGTGAATCGAAAAAAAATGAGAAAGGCGCCGTGAAATTGAAAAAAATAAACTAAGCAAGGTGCCGTAAAAGGGGAAAAAGCTAAGTAAGATGCCGTGAAATGGAAATACACTAAGTAAGGTGCCGTGAAATGAAAAAAATCTAAGCAAGATGCCATTAAATGGAAATAAATTAAGAAAGGTGCCGTGAAATAACTCAGCAAGGTGTCATAAATCGAAAAACACTAAGCAAGGTGACATGAAATGGAAAAAAAAACTGTACAAGGTGTCATGAAATGGGAAAAAAATTAAGGTGCCGTGAAATGAAAAAAACTAAGCTATGTACCGGGAAATGGAAAAAAAATTAAGCAGGGTGCCGATAAATGAAAAATAAACTAAGCAAGATGCTGTGAAATAGAAAAAATCGTCAGAAACAATGGAAAGAGTGCTGTATTGCTATTTGATATCCATCCTCTTATATAGCAGTGGTGATTTTCTAAAAGTAGCTTAGATGTGGCACTAGATTGGAAACATGGGTCACCCAGTGAGGATCGAACTTACTTTTCTGATGTAATTGATTTAGTAAGACAAGCTTACTAACCATTGCACCACGTTAAGTGCACGTCTTATATGGCAGTAAATGATAGACAATCTTCACAACTACGAGGAGAAAACTGGAGGCAGCCGAAATCTGGTTCTGCAGAAAGATACTGAAAATTCTACGAACGGAGAAAGTAAGCAACAAAGAGTTCTTAAAGAAAATGTCAATAGAATGAACACTTATTCTTGAAATCAGGAAATACAGATGAAATTACTTGAACACATAATGAGGATTGTCTCAGGATATATTGTGGGTAAGAGTGATAGGGGAAGCCAGCAAGCCACTTATCTGATGATCTTCTGTGAAACGATAGCAAAACGGGGGCAAGAGCAAAGGGAGAAGCTATAGGAAGCTGTGGGTCGCCATGATCGCCTAAAGCTTAGGAGAATTAAGAAAAAGAAAACATTTATTAAAAGCTCCGAAGGACAGAAAATTGTGGAGATCGCATAATTCCTGAAAGGACGCGGCATATAGAAGATATATGGTAAATGGTGTCCGATCCATGCTGCTTCCTTCTTCTTTATGAGCCGTTTCCCCTCAGGACGTAGGCGATCATGGCTCTCCACAATTTCCTGTCTTTCGTAGCGCTTCATAAATTTTGTCTTTTTGTGTTGTCTCCTAAACCCTGATCCGTCATCAATTTACTCAAGCTCACCAAGTATGTTAGGCGTTCTTGTCCCTCTTTTCCTCAATATGCCCTGTGAGTATCAAATTTTCTAAGTACTCTGTCTTCATTAAATGACCTAGAAATTTCAATTGTCTCTTCATGATGTTAGTTATAAGTTTGCTTTTTATTTAGAGTATTTAAATTGTTCGGACTATTGTCCTCATCTTTGTTGTCATATTCACGACCTTTCGCTCGTTGTACGCCCAGGCCTTCTTCAGAGGATTGAGATTTCGAACAGAACCCTTTATTTTGCCCACTGGGGAAGATTCTTCTAGTTCCATGCGCCATGCCTCTTCAGGATATATTTAAGTTTCAATTTTTTCCCTTTAACTTTAACTCAACTCTCCAAGTTGGATTATCAACGCTTTTATCTACTGGGCCATGTGTCCATGAGGACAATAATACCCACAATGTAAACACTGTAAATAATTATGATATAATGGAATATGCGTACACTTGTGTTCCCCTTCACTGGAATATGATTGGCTGGTGTCCGTCATAAATACCGACGGACGTGTAGGTACGAGTGTCAAGAGCCTTAGTCTGAGAGCTAAGTCTATAATGACGCTCATTGGACTACGCCATTGATCTACACTTCTTACCTGCGACTACGACGCGTACCAGTCGATTACTGCTACCGTATTCTACTTGGTTATAGTAGCCCAAAACCACTTAGCTACTTCGTTCAAATATATCCCTTTCCGAGACATATCAGATTACAATACCTCATCTCAAAAATACAGACAATAAGTTGAGAGGAAAATACTAAAATAATATAGTATTTATTTTCAGGGTTTTTTTTATTTCTTTATTTTTGTTTCACTTTCTTTGTTCATTTATTTCTCGCTCTTTGTTTGTCTTTTTAACAATTTTTTTTTTTAATTTTGCATTTGAAGAAGACATTTTAATTTCTCTTGACCCACAGTTTCTGAGTTGAGAAGACAGGACTTCAGCGATCGCTGACCCTAATATGATACCTTTTCATTTATTTATTTGTTTCACATCTCCCTTGAAGATAACAAACAAGTGAACTTGAGCTTCAGTCATCTGATAATTCAAGGACCGAAATGATTCAAATAGCGGAAAAGGGACCTAAATTAAGGCCGTAATGAATCATCCAACTCAGGACAGACAGTCACGAAGAAGAAAACGTAAATATTAAAAAAAGAAAAAAAGAAAAAGACATATGAGAAAATTAGTTTAATTAATTAAAATCACAATTACAGCCATGAATTATCATCAAACCTTCATATTATATTAGTTGAAATATATTGTCCTGAAATAGGTTATTACGTGTATAATTTATATCGAAAATTCTGAAAGTGGTTGAATCTAAGAAACTACTGGTTCTATAGATTTCTATGAAGCTTACTTCAGGCTGCAACGAAGCAATATGTTCGGGTTGGAAGACTGTGAAGTTCCAGGTTTATAATCGGAAAGTGTTTACGTTTAAAATATTTCGCGACTGCAGGGAAATCCCTCCAGATGATATTTTCTAAGTAATTTCCCGGAGTTAATGTGTCAGTAGACGATAGAAAGAAAAAGACGGAAAACAGGCGTCGAAAAGAAAGAGAAACTTTAAAATAACGAGTTACTGAATAATGAAATTCATTAAGAAAAAATAAACGGACGGAAAACAAGCAAAGAAAAAAAAAACATTGAACTAAGAAAGAAAGAAAGAAAGAAAGAAAGAGAAGCATTGACCTAAGAAAGAAAGAAAGAAAGAAAGAATAAAAGAAAGAAAGAAAGAAAAGAAAAAGAAGCATTGACGAAAGAAAGAAAGAATAAAAGAAAGAAAAAAGAAAACGTGATAAAAAGAAAAGGAAAAAACAATATTCAACGAAAAAAGAAAGAAGACAGGCAAAAAATAAAAGGAAAAAGAAAACGGCATTGAAGAAAGAAAGAAAACAGGCAACAAAACGAAAAGAAAAATGAAACCGCAATGAAGAAAGAAAGAAAGAAAAAAAGAAAAGAAAAAGAAGCATTGACCTAAGAAAGAAAGAATGAAAGAAAGAAAGAAAGAAAGAAAGAAAGAAAGAAAGAAAAAAGAAAGAAAGAAAACATGATAAAAAGAAAAAGAAAAAACATTCAACGTAAAAAGAAAGAAGAAAACGGCATTGAAGAAAGAAAAAAACAGGCAACAAAACGAAAAGAAAAATGAAACCACAGTGAAGAAAGAATGAAAGAAAGAAAGAAAAGAAAGAAAGAAAGAAAGAAAGACAGAAAGAAAGAAAAGAAAGAAAGAAAAAATAATACGTGATAAAAAGAAAAGGAAAAAGAAGCATTGAACGAAAAAAGAAAGAAGACAAGCAAAAATGAGAGGAAAAAAGAAAACCGCATTGAAGAAAGAAAGAAAGAAAGAAAGAAAGAAAGAAAGAAAAAGAAAGAAAGAAAGAAAGAACAGATGATCAAGTGGAAGGGAATAAAACCTAAAGACATGTAAGGAAAGTAAGAGAATGAGAGAGAGAGAGAGAGAGAGAGAGAAAGAAAGAAAGAAAATCATATGAAAAAATGCACAAGAATTCGCTGCCCGATCAAGGTTGCTTTCCAGAAAAAAACATTTCACATGCTTGGTCATTTGGTCAAATATTGGGAAGACTCGTGTCAAGAAATCTTCATCCCCACTTTGTAGAAATAAGAAGTGAGAGAAAACTGTAGCAGGAAAGAATGAGAGAAAAATAATAGTGTATAAGTAGAACAGAATGGTCGAATGAGGCGAATGAAAACGAAGAATATGAATGAATGAAGAGAAATTGATAGAAAGAAAATAATGTGAATAGAGAGAAACGAAAGGAAAGAATCAGTCTTGGAGAGACTGAAAGTGAAGGCAACTTAAATATCGGTTCTACAATGCCTATCCAATTTCTAGCATCATTTTCTTAGGATTATGATGACAGTAATGGTCATTTTGGAAAAGGTGGTCGACGTTACTGTAGTGAAGCTGTTCAAATCTGGATTTAATTGGAGGGTTTTGAAGAGGTGTGAGAGCGCAAGTAGGCTCGCTGGTTCAAGGGACATAAGGTCAGCGGTGAGTTAGGGAGAAGAGTGGGAAAAAAGGGAAAACGAGGCGTGCAAAGATGTGCTGGATTATTGGCAAGGGAGGAAGGGCCAATGAAGTGTATGACGAGTGAGAGAAGTAGACTTGGTTTGGGTAGGGCGAAAGAAAGAAAGAAAGAAAGAAAGAAAGAAAGAAAGAAAGAAAGAAAGAAAGAAAGAAAGAAAGAATGTATAAAACTTTGAGAAAATAGAAAGAGGCAAAGAAAATATATAAGAAAGAATAAAGGAAAAATCAAAAAAAAGAAAGAAAGAAAGAAAGAAAGAAAAGAAAAAAAAAGAAAAAAAAAGAAAGAAAAAAAAGGTAAAACTTTGAGAAAATAGAAAGAGGCAAAGAAAATATATAAGAAAGAATAAAGGAAAAGTCAAAGAAAGAAAGAAAGAAAGAAAGAAAGAAAGAAAGAAAGAAAGAAAGAAAGAAAAGGTAAAACGTTGAGAAAATAGAAAGAGGCAAAGAAAATGTATAAGAAAGAATAAAGGAAAAGTCAAAAGAAAGAAAGAAAGAAAGAAAGAAAGAAAGAAAGAAAGAAAAGGTAAAACGTTGAGAAAATAGAAAGAGGCAAAGAAAATGTATAAGAAAGAATAAAGAAAGAAAGAAAGAAAGAAAGAAAGAAAGAAAGATTAAAACGTTGAGAAAACAGAATGAAGCAAAGAAAATATATAAGAAAGTATAAAAGAAAAGTCGAAGAATAAAAAGAAAGAATTAAAGAAAGAAATGGTAAAATGTTGAGAAAATGTATAAATGAAAAGACTAGGAAAGAAAGTAACAAACAAATGCTCTGATGAAAAAATGCCAGGATAAAAAATGTGAATGTAACTAGAAAGAGAAAATCAAACGCGAAAAACAGTAAAAAAAAAAAAAAAAGAGCAAGAAAGAAAAAAACGAAAGAAAGAAACAAACATGAAAAAATAAATAAAAAATAGAAAAAGAAATGAGATATTAAAATATTTTTCTATTTTTTCGAGACTTTCCCCAACCTTTTTTTTTAGAGAACGAAAAAGAATGAATGTATATGCGGAAAGAATGAATGATAAAAAAAAAATAAAAAAGTAAGTTCACGAATGAAAGCAGATAAAATGAATACAAAGCAAGGATAGAAAAGGAAGATAAATGAATAAAAGCGAAGAAAGAGATGAAAAATATTTTTAAAATAATAATAATATAAGAAAATGAAAAAAGTGCCGGTATAAAGATGGAGGAGTAATGATGAAAAGAATACAGAGAGAATCCGCCGCCCAAACTTAAAGAGAAGTCGAAGTGTAACGGGGAGAAATCCCGTGCCATTATGAAATCTCGTCTAATGCTGTGACTACAAAAAAAAGTGGTCAATGGGTTATAATTAATTAGAAAGAAAAAGAAAAAAAATGTCACAAGAAGCCGATGACCCTGCCGAAGTGCAAAGTAGTATGGAATGACTGGCATAGTGATTGAGTTTCGTAAGTAGATACAAGCGGGGGTCAGAGTCTGGGAAGGAAGACAAACAGCACGAGATTAAAAGAAAGGAAAAAAGAAAAAATACAAAAATGGCGAATAAAGAGTGAATGAAATTGATGATACTCGATTGTTGCAAGAAAAAAGATGAGCTTGGCGTCCGGGTCAGCATAAAGAAAGGATCTGAAGTAACGTTAAGAGTCAAGAGGCAGCGGCGATGTTATATAGAAACCGTTGAAGTAGCCTTAGCTCAAGTGTATGAAGGCAGCAGGACATGTAAGTGATTTTTAATAGGAATTAGGAATTTTACAAGTAAAGTAACCTTCGGGTTGTGAGCAGAGCCCGAGCTAAGTCTCGTTGCTCTTATTTTGAATATCTTCTTAAGGAAGACCATATCTAGTCAACATGTTTTGTAAACGTAGTAACTATGTATCCTCAGCCGGTGTCAAAGGTTGGTGTTCGAGATCTGGTAAGATCAAAGATTTCGAATGTAGATTTTCAAGGTGGTCAAACGGACCTCACTTGAAATGTTGGTTCAACAATTTTCCAGTTCCTGTTTGGCTCTTGAAATCTACCCAGTCAAATTTAATAAATATAGTATTGGTCCAAGTCCTGTTGGCTCTTGAGTTCTACTCAGTCAAATCTATTAAAAGTTGGATCGGTCAAAGCCCTGGTGTTTCTTGAGTCTACCCAGGTAAATTTAATAAATATCGGATCGGTTAAATCCCTGTTGTCTCTTGAAATTGTCCCGTCAATTTTAATAAATATCCAATCGATGCCAGGCGTCAGTATTCAGTCAATGGAAAAATCAGGATTGTGTATGCTGATTTTTCAAAGCAAGTCCTTACTCTATGTCGAGAATTAGTAATACAAAGTTTTGATTCCTTCTCTTATCCACATTACGGTTTATCTAAAACCTAAAAAAAAAACTGGCAGGTATCAATCAAACCTAACCAGAAAATAACATAGCTCGTAGTGTGCTGATCTCACAAGACATTTAGAGTTAATTCAACAGGCTCTCTAGAAATTAAGATTTGCACCAATAACTACCACTTTGAGCACTTTTCAGTATATTTAAATATTATTTAATAATGCTTCCATATTGTTTCATTTTACAACCGTATGTATGTTTATTCCACTGAAATCAAATAAACAATATCATATGCCACGTTGGTTAATTTAATGACATATCAACCGGAGTTAAATTATTTAACGTTGAATATAAGCCTTAAAGCAAAACCGCAATGAACTAATTATAAATAATGGCGTCCAAATATACTCATTTGTCGGGTTTATGGGTGAAACAAAAATTAAGCATTGATCTGGTTTATACTTGAGTCGAAAGATTAACATTTTACAGGTTTATACTTGAGTCAAAAGACAATTTTCTCTTGATTTGACAATTAAGCTAAGCGGCAAGTGTTGGTTGAGTTTATACTCGAAGCAAAATATTGGTCGAGTAAACTAAACAGATCGGATTTAGGCTTAAGTTCTCAGCTGATAAGTCATAGTAAGATTATCGCAAATTTACAAAAGACACTTGAAAAGACTATTACGTTTACTTGTTAATATGAAAGCGTACAAGGTTTTAAGTAAAAAAAAAAAAAGAATAGTTGATATTAACAAAGTGTGTATAGATTTCTTAAAGAGATACTAAACGTAACGTGTATCGGCATACGTCGTCCTCGGACACATGGCCGAGTGGTTAAACTCTTTAGTTGAAGTAATCCAGTGATTTGTCGCAAAGAGTTGTGAGTTCAATACCTGGCCATATCAGAGGCAAGCAAAAACTTGGTGAGTTGAGTTACTGAAGGGAAAGTAACAGAAACTAAGATATCCAGAAAAAGTATAGAACTAGAACAATCTACCCCCAGATGTCGGTTCGAAATTCCAACGTATATCACCTGAAGTATGCCGAAGCGTAAAACGGCCGCAACATCGTGAATATGGCAATAAAGATGAGGACAACAGTCCGAACAATGTAAATAGTTACAATACCTCATCTCAGAAATATGGACAGACACACATATTATGTAACTGAATGTAAAGTAGAAAAAGTTCCATGTGATGTGCCTTTCGTCCCCTGAAAGGATTTCATAGGACTAAATTAATATAGCGTTATTAAAATAATATAATTTAATGTGAATACGTTGATGTGACTTTTAAAATGTCACCCTTGACTTTAATCTGCAATTGTTTTTATCTACCTTCAAACTATTTAATGACCCGCCCATACACTATTCAGAAGCCAAAGTCCAGAAGAATCAGCAGGCAGCTGTCACAGAAGTGAGTTAGAATAAAATTAGTCGGACAATCCACGCAGTTGAAATGCATTCTCGGATTCCTAGAAAGACACTTCTGTTAAAGTCCAGGCACGTGAAGGTTCGTCTGCAGTGTGACATCATCATCATCATAATGTAAAAACACCCTACTTGGATAATGGCAGCGTAATACCCGTCAAATTATAATCTTGGAACTTTATAGTCATTCCCCAACTTCTATTGAAACTATCAGCAGCATCCTCTATAAAGATGGGCATCATCTTCCTGCTCGTCTTCACTTTAATCTCAACCGCTGTCTGAAATCCCGTTATTTCCAATAGTGATTTTAGAAAGACAGAAGTCGCGGGGATTGTCTTAGGGATTACCAACTTGGTTGATGGTGATATTTTGAAAAAAGAAAATTCACGAATCTGCAAAAATGGTTGGATGCCTTTTAAACATTCCATTGACTTTCCGGAATTTCTAATTCACGTCCTGTCAGCTTCCGATTACAGACCTCACACATTCAACATTTTCAGATTTTCATCTGATTAAAGGTCTTCCAGAATCTGAATCGCCTTCAACGAATCCCTGGCCATGTTTGAAACGCTGAAGTCAACATTTTATCTAGGATTCATTCATTCACTCATTTGGGAATGGCTTCTTAATCGGGCGAATACTTTCCGCTCACATATGTTCAAGTTTTCCGCAAAACTTACTGCATATCTGTTGTGAATGCAGTTGTGTTTTTAATGCAGACTGAGTAACCCCAATGGAAAGCATCTGTTCATGATTGTACAATAAGTTTTATTTTCTACAACTGATTGTCAAATTATATAAAGGTCGGGAGATATCCAAAATGGTTGAATACTTTCTGAACCTTGTAAAGTACCGTATATATTCGCGTATCATCCAACTTTTGAAGACCTAATTTTGAAGCTAATTTTAAGAGGGTCGCATCATACACGAGATATAAAATTAGCGTATGTACTGCTGGCTTTGGCTACGCCGTTGACGAAAATTTATACCCATTTGCTGTAGTTAAATTAGCTTAAAATTTAGGTCTTTAAAGTCGCTTGATACGCAATTATTTATTTTACTGCTATGAATTATGCGTTAGCCAAAGTATAATTATGGTTGAATCTTAGGAAACTTCAGTTGAAATGCATTTATTATCTTTTCTATTCTACTGTGTATCATTGACAGTGCATTCTGGGAAACTTTCAAACAGGGAATTAAGGTCCTTCATTAGCATTCGCTTGAGAAGTGAACACATTGCTGCACCATCTGGTAAAATTTAATTATCGTATTTCCCAGCTTATTGGACGCGGATTTTTTCCAAAAAAATGCACCCGAAAATGACCATGCCTCCAATACAGCAGTATCATACATGGGAGGGACATGAAGACGACGAAAAAAAAATGGGGTTCACTTGGAATCAGTGTACGTATAGATATTAACTCTGAAACTAGGATTAAGGGAAAGGAACAAAAATGGTATCAATAAAAATATTCCTGAAAAATTCACCCAGAAAAAAGAAATTAAGAAATTTATGGAATTGCACAATATTTTGCTACTTGTTGTGTCCGTCCTGGGTAAGACGATAAACTACATCCGTGTCCTGGGTATGATGATAAAGTACATCCGCGTCCTGGGTATGACGATATACTATCCGCCTCCTGGCTATAACAATAAACTATATCTGCGTCCTGGGTAAGACAATAAACTATATCTGCGTTCTGACCAGAAGGTTTTGAGGAGCGTGGAACCACCTCTTAATTGCTGGTGTTCCCAGGTCCACCCTGACCCGGGGTGGTAGCACCTGTTAGGGGCCCAGCTATGGGCAAAAGTTAACCCCAAATTGGGGTTAAAACACTATGAAAGTGTAAAAATAGGTTTTAATACCAGAAATACTTTGTAAAAAAAAGTTATTACCAACAATAAGTTTTTGAAGAGAAAAATTATTACCAACAATACATTTTGAAAAAAAAATATTACCAGCTATACATTTTTAAAATAATATTTTTGAAGAAAAAATATTACCAGAAATAGATTTTTTAAGGGAAAAGATTTTACCAGCAATACATTTGATAAAAAAAAAATTACCAGCAATGAAAATTTTGTCGGCATTAAATAACCTATTGAGTTTGATATGCCGTAAAACAAAACAAACCAAACCAAACTTGCTTTGTAGAAATACCAGATTTTACAGGAATATTAAATTTGACTGCTATATTGCTGCTTGCTTCGTGTGTGTGTTTTTTTGTTGATAAACAGGTATTGGAATTTGCTTTTCTGCATGTATGGTATAGGACTTCATTTACCAACAATTACTATATTTCTGTTTTTTGCCTATCACCATATCTACCAGTGTTCACTGATACCAATAGATTTCTTTGTAGCTATCAGAATATTTATGTATGCAAATTTTTCTCTCTGAAAAACAACTAAAAAAATTTCAATGAATGTACTAAAATTCTTCTTTTACAAAAAATATCATGGTAATTAAACATTAGTTCACTTCTATTAAAAGAAAAGGATTAAGAGTATAATTTGTGCTAATAGTGTGTTTCTTCATGATTAGTGAGAATG